TTGTCAGGCTGGCTTCAAACCTCAGTTCTCCTGATCTCTGCCTCCTGAGTGGCTATAATTACAGGCGTGAACCGCTGGAGCCTGACTTGCTCTATTTCTTGAGGCACACCTCCAATCCATTTTATTTTTTGCCCAGGCTGGCCTGGGACTATGACCCTTCTATTTTATGCTTACTGCCATTGCTGAGATGTGACAGGTACACACCACCAACACCCAGCTATGGGTCAGGATGGAGATCTCACAAACTCCCTGCCCAGGCTGGCCTCCAACATCGATCCTCCTGATGTCAGCCTCCCAAGTAGCTAAGATTACAAGCATGAACCACCAGCACCTGGCCTGTCCTTACTCTTGACACAGCACCCAGAAAGCAATAGATACTCTGTCCCTGTTTGCTGAACAGACACAAAGCACCTGACTCTCTCTACCTGTGCTGTGCAATACAGTGGCCACCAGCCTGTGTGCCTTTCAAGCATTTGAAATGCCATCCTGTGTGAGTTAAGATGTTCTGGAGAGATCAAATGGACATAAAAGAAAAAAGACTCCCTAATTTTATATTGAGTTAATGTTGAAATAATGTTTTAAGTATGTTAGGTTAAAGAAAATGTTATTTAAATTAATTTATATGTTTCTTTTTACTGTTCTTATTTTTTTGGTGGGACTGGGGTTTGAACTCAGGGCTTCCCACTTGCAAAGCAGGCGCTCTACCGCTTGAGCCACTCCTCCAGTCCATTTTGCACTGGTTATTTTGGAGATGGGGGTCTTCAGAGCTATTTGCTCAAGCTGGCCTCAAACCATGGTTCTCCTGATCTCAGCCTCCCATGTAGCTAGGATTACAGCCATGAGCCACCAGCACCCAGTTCTTTCTACTCTTTTTACTGTGTAGGGGAGAAAAGGTAATGTCTTTTTCTCACCCATCACAAGATTCATGGCTGACACCCCTATTAGCAAAAGAGATTAAAGAGAGGAAAAGCATACAAATTTATTTAACAAAAGTTTTCCTCAACACTGCAGCCTTCAGAAATGAAGACCCAAAGAAATCAGGAAATTGCGTGTTTAATGGACAACCATGCAGAAGGCTGATTGGAGGGTGAAAGGGTGGAGTTTGGTAGGAAGCAGGGAACTTAGCAGGACTGTTTGTTCAGAATTTTCTTGTCCTTCCTGTGTGACATTCCTTCCCAATCAGATACGTGGAGGACCTCTGTCCCATGAGGACTTCAGGGGAGAAGGGAGGGAGAAGGTTGGAGACTGTCCTTGCTAGGTTTTTCAGGAAAGACGGAAGAGGCAAAGATGAGAGGGGGCTTCCTGCTTCTGGTGTTGTCTCTTTCCAAGGTGCCTTTTTTTGGGGGGGCGGGGATACTAGGGTTTGAACTCAGGGCCTTGTGCTTGCAAAGCAGACACTCTACCATTGAGCCATGCCCTGTCCACTTTTTTTTTTTTTTGACAAGGTCTCTTTGTATAGTCCAGGCTACTCTGGAACTTACTATGTAGCCCAGGCTGACCTTAAACTCTGACTACTACTACCTCTGCCTCCCAAGTAGCTGAGATTACAGGCGTGAGCAACTACATTCAGCTTGTTTTGCTTGAGCTGGCCTCAAACCTCGAGTCTCCACCTCCCAAGTAGCAGGGATAACAGGTGAGCGCCACCATGCTTGGGAAGGTGCCATATTTGAGGTCATGCTCCATGCTCCCACACGTGCCTTACCTTTTAGTGCAGTTGGACACTGCTGCTGTACAAGCAGCATGGCCTGAGAACAGAGCAGAGAAGTGAGACTCAGAACTCCAGTCCCTGGGGGGGTAGCTCCCTACTTCCCAGAGTCTCGACTGCTTCTGTGTAGCAGGGACGATCAGGGAAGTGGTACACAGTAGGTCCTCTAGTCCTGTTACCCCAGCCACGAAGCCTGCCTCGAGGTCCAAATGCGTGCTTGCATACGGAGAATGGCATAATATGTGAACGCAAAAATGAGTTTATTTACAGTTTTGGTCAAAACTGGGGAGAGAGAACTTCTCAGTCTGTCTTTGCCTTTCCCACAGCAGTGTCACAACTTATAGAAAGGATGAAACGAGACTGGGCGCCGGGGCTCATCCCTGTAATCCCAGCCACTCAGGAGGCAGACACTGAGATCAGGAGGATCAGGGTTCGAGACATCATCTCAACCTGGCTGGGCATGATGGTGCATGCCTGGTATCCCTGCACGGGATGTGTAAATGGGAAGATCACCGTGCAGGCATAAACAGGAGATCCTTTTCTAAAAATGACTAAGGCAAAAAGGTCTGGAGGTGTGTTCAAGCCCTGGCTTCATACCCTAGCACCGCAAAATACCAAATAAATAAATAAGAAGATGGGATTGGAGGTGTGGCTCAAGTGGTGAAACGCCTGTTTTGTGAGCTCGATGTCCTGAGTTCGAACCTACGAAGGAAGGAATGAAGGTAGGAGGGAGGGAGGGGTGGAAGGGAGGAAGGAAGGAAGGAAAGAAAGAATAAAAAGGTGAAACAAAAGCCAGGAGATTTCAGTATGGTGCTTCAAGTCTATAATCCCAGTACTTGGGAAACTGGAACAGGAAAATCAGGAGTTCAAGGCCAGCCTAGGGTACCTGGCAAGTTCAGACCAACCTAGACTGCATAGCGTGACCTTGTCTCAAAAACCAACCAAACAAACGAGCAAACAGCATCTGGAGATAGCCTGTCTCCTGGACTCACGGCTCCAGCGAGGGGCGCATCCTCAGCTGTAAGAATCTAATTCCTGGGGCCATCACAGTCAGAGCTCTGTGCTCAGGGCCCATCCCACCGTCTCTTCTTTCCCTCCCCCTGTACCTCCAGCCTGAAACACCCTCTTCTTGCCAGAGAGCCTCCACCCAGCCCCCCAGGAAGCCCTGCCTGGCTATACTCACTCACCCTCACCATCCAACCCCAGGGACGACAGGGCTGTTGGGGGCCAGCCCTGCAGCGAAGACAGGAAGCCAGGCACCTGGATGAGCTGCGGAACCCACAGGCTAGCACAAGAGCTGGGCGCAGTCGGTCACTCCAGCTCCACCGGCACGCACCTGTGAGGGGTAAGGTGCTCTGGGAGTCCTAGCGTCCTCTGTGGCCCTTGACATCATCCCTGGGTACTTCTGCTCTTCCAGGTACCTGCAGGCACAGACTGGCCCTTAGGCCTCTCTGCCGTGGTGGTCAGGTCACACAGCGGTGAGTTCTAAGGATACAGTTCACATGTACACGGAGGGACAGACTGTGATCCACAGATAATTCATTAGTGATTCCATCACGGTGGTGGGAAGAAAAAGACACCATGCTCTAAGAAAGGGTAACAGAAGACCTTGGGTTCTCTCAGCCTGAAATCCTGGAGGGCTTCCAGAGAGGAGGCTTTTGGGTGAAGAGCCAAGGAAGGGGTCTTATCTAGAGGAAGTGTGAGGAGAGGCACATCCTAGGCTTTAGTCCTTAGTGTTGGAGAAGCTGTGACCAGGCCTGAAGCAGGGGTGACTTGCTGGGCAGAATGGACGGGGGGGGGGTATGGGTGGCCTCTTATGGGGGGCTATGTAGCTTTCTGCGGGGAGCCAAAGAGCAGCAAGACGGAGACTGGCACCAGTTTCCCAGGTGGCCTGGCTGGCGGTTGGCAGTACAGCACGTGGTGTTCAGAGGCAGGGGTAGAGGAAAGGGATTCGGGAGCGTGCCTGGGCTTGGACCAGGCTACAGCGTGCTCAGCAGCTATTGTTTTAAAATGATAGAATTTAGACGCTAGCTTTCCCAGCTGGTCCTGGCTTGCTGGGCAGAAGGGGCTGTCACCTGGGTGCTGCCCAAGCAGTCCTTGCGTTTCAGGGAGGGCTGTGGTGGTGCAGGAGGCCCTTTCACCAGAGACCCCTGGTGACAAGATGGGGAGGGGACCAGAGCTTGGCCTTCCCTGACGGCTGCCCGACCCCCATCCAGCCTCCCACTCACACCCAGCCCCGCCCGCAGGGTGAAGGGCCACATGAGGGGCCTGGCCGGGGTCTCAGTCCCCAACCTTTTGAGTCAGGGCTCCTGAACAGCCATCCAAAAGGCTCTGAAGATGTCCACGGGCTCAGAGCAATCACAGCCTTTGCTGTTGTCACAGCCAAACACTGTCACTGCCGTCTTGTCCCGCTGCTTGTCCCTCCTTCCTTGTGACCCGACCTGGCTGGAGTCAATCCCATTTTATAGCAAAGGCGGATGGGAGCAGAGTGACTTGAGAGACCATAAGCCAGGAAAGGCTCTGCTGGAATTCTGTGTCACAGTGTCGTGGGCTCCCTGTCCCCAGAACAAATAGGATTAGGTTTCCATTTAGTCATCAGGTTTTTCTCTTTTACACTTTAGGACTTGTTTTCTCCCCCAAATCAGCACATTTTAACTTCCCTCTCATTCTTTGTCTTTTCTGTGTTCAAACATGAGTCATTCATTTGACAGGAACTAGAGGTGAAGGATGTGACCAGAGGTGGCTTTTTCCCACAGGCCCTAGGGAGTCCCTTTGGGGGGTCATTGGCCAGTGTGATGTGGTCAGATGTGGTCAGGCTCAGATCTCTGCAGTTTAAGTTGATCAGATTGGAGTGGGCTGGCCCGTGGGCCAGCTGAGAGCCACTGCAGGGGTCTGGGTGAGAGATAGCAGTAGCCTTGTGTGCCCCAGCAGTCCCTGTCACACTGCAGCTGTAACCCTGGGTTATCTGTGGGAAGGACGGTGGCACATTCCTCTCTGCAGGACTTAGCAAGGGGGTCTGGCACACACAGGCCCTGGGGGCGCGGGTGGAGGGGGAGAGTACCTGTGGAATGATCGCCAAGGTGGACACAGGGTCAGGTGGTCAAGAGGGAAGCTGGTCAGACCACTCAGAACCAGGTCCCAAAAGGCCTTGCCATCCGGGGCCGGGGAACAGACTTCTCCCCGAGAGCAGGACGGACTTTTGCTTGGGGAACAACTGGGCAGATTAGGGTTTCCAGAAGGTTCCCCTCAGCAGCAGCCACATGGCTCTGGTTTGCCCTGCCCAGGCGCTGTGGGGATGGCACACCTGCTGGGCAGCCAGGCCTGCATGGACAGCCTGCGCAAGGACCTCACCGACCTGCAGGGCGCCATCGTGGATGTGTTCTCTCGCGCGGGGCCCGTGCGCTTCCCCTCCTGGAAGTTCCCTGACCGTGTGGCCTGTGATCTCGACATGGTGGCCCTGCTGGAGCACTATGACCACGTGCCAGGAGACCCTGAGTTCACGCAGCTGTCCCATGCTGTGCTGCTGGAGTTGGTCATCGACAGGTAAGGGCTTTGACATCCAGTGACAATGCCACCTGCCCTCACGCGGTAGCAGCCACAGGAGCCCCTTCTAGAGATGGTGACAGTGCGGTGAAACAAGCACCATGGACTGAGCACCGGACGTGTCATGTCAGCTCGGGGCCCTCACTGACACTCCCCTGACCCCTGCCTCATTTTTTTGTGGTCTATCTGGGATTCGAACTCAGGACTTCACACTTGCAAAGCAGGCGCTCTACCGCTTGAGCCACACCTCTGGATGTTGCTCTGGTTATTTGGGAGGTGGGGTCTCGAGAACTACTTTCCCGGGCTGACCTCGCCTCCCAGGCTCAGCCTCCCACGTAGGTAGGATTACAGGCGTGAGCCACTGGCTCGTGACCACGCTTTTTACTGGGTGGTCCTACCTCATCCCCCGCAGGGAGTTAGTGAGCCCCCATAGCCACTGCTCGGAGTTTCCGTCCCAGGCTCTTCTTCCTGGCGTCTTGGGGGCCGTGGTGTTCCCTGGGTCGTGCATCACAAGGCCAGCCACGGGGTGTGCTTTGCCACCTCCCGGTCCTGCTGGGGAAGGCTGGTGGGTTCCCTGCAGCCTCCCCGCTTCTACACTGCTGTTAATGGGATCCTCAGCCTTCTGCTTCCGGTGCTCAAACACGTTACCATCAGTGAAGCCACACGGGGCCCCACCAGGCTGCAGGGGACAGAGAGGCCAGGGTCACCATGCTGAGGCCTGGAGGAGCCCTGGATGTGAAAGCGTGACGCATCCCCTCCAAGGGACTGGCAAGGGGTGAGCAGAACACTCTTTCCTTTCTCCAGGGCTTTGCATAGGGCCGTTTCTCTGCCAGGATTGCCCAGCCCACCCTTTTCCTGCTTCAGCTAAGCCCCGCCACCCATCATCACTGGCTCACCACTCCTCCTCTGTGACGTTGTTACTGACATGCCCTCTGACCTGTCCAACCCCTTCCCGCCTCTGACTCCTACCAGAGACCACTGTGTCTGAGTCCAGACCTGCCTGGGAGCCCTGGAGGTCAGGACCATGACCTTGAGCCCACAGGATGGCGTTTTGAGGTGCTCAGGTCGGGTCCAGATGGGATCAGGGTGAAGGATACAGATAGCACAGCATCTCCCACATGAGAGTTTGTCTGAGCAGACATGTGGCAATGCCAAGGCTGTGCTCTGCCCGATTTCCAGCTGCGTCCCCATTCCCCAGCGCTGCTATCCATGTGGCCAGGGCGCACGGCCTGGAGGCGGTTGGCACTTCCTCGAGGCCCTGGGGGTTTGGAATGACCCCTGGTCATTATCTTCCAGGTGTGCGTGCAAACATGATACCTCTTCTTTTAAAGTAATTCCACTCCAGCTGGGCATAATCCTAGCTCCTTGCGAGGCTGAGGTGGAGAGGATCACAGTTTGAGGCCAGCCCAGGCAAATGATTCTCAAAACCCCATCTCCAGAATTAGCCAGAGCAAAATGGGCTCTGACGAGTGGCTCAAGTGACAAAGCGCCTGCTTTGCAAGCATGAAGCCCTGAGTTCAAACCCCAGGCCCACCAAACAAAATTAATAACAATAATAACTCCCATCATGCATGTGCAAATACATCTTCCCACACCCTTTTGCTTAAGATTAGCACAGAGACCTGACTGAGACCTGACTGTCCCCACTCCGAGTCTCCGTTGTCACAGAGTAGCTTGGCCTAGGGGAGAAGCCCTGCTAGAGTCAGAAGACACACGAGTGTCCCCTCAGTGCCCTGCTCACCCTCTGACCATAGGGGGACACTCGTCCTCGTGGGGGCTCTGTTCTGTCGTCATCTTCTGGATCATTTGGTGTAAGACGGCTGGGTACCCAGAGTACTTAAAATGCATCTAAGATGAGGCCAGACTGCCCTCCCCCAGCTCCAAGGTCAAGTGCTGCCACCCAGGAGGCCCACAGGAGGGCATCCTGGAGGAGGTGGACCCTGGGTTGGGTCTGAAGCTACTTGGATTCTCCAAGTCCGTGATGCCTGGGCCAGTTGCGTTGAGCGAGGGCACATTCGCCCTGTCCACCCTGGCATCTCCGTCCCACAGGCTCCTGCTGCTACTTCAGAGTTGTGCCAGCTACCTGGAAAACCTCAGCTCGGAGCAGACCTTGCCCCCTGCCCGGGCTGCAGGCCCCTGCATGTCCGTGGGGCTCACAGTGCGGTGCTTCTGGAACAGCTTGCTGAAGCTGGGCTTGCTGTACCAGCAGGTGGCCCCCCAGGTGGGTCACCTCACACCCCATCCCAGCCCCTTCCCCTGCCCACAGGGAGTAGTGCGAGCTCCCTCCCAGTCAAGGCTCACAGCCTTGCTAGTCAAGAACGCAGGCCTCAGGTGTCCTGTCTGGGCTCCCTGGCTCTGCCATTTACACTGCAGGACTTTGGGGAAATCCTACATCCGCTGAACCTCAGTTTGTTCATCTGTGCAATGGGATTATAGCAGCCGTATTTGATCCAGGTCATCCCATAGTCCTCACAAGTCACTAGCGGGAAAGGATGATGGCCGCCATGAGGTGGTGTAAGAATGAGCGAGAGCCCAGTGTCTGGCATTGGTTACTGTCCCCCTTACCCTCTCGGTGCCGTGGATTTGCAGTCAATCACATCACGCCTGGCTGGGGAGGGGCTGCAGAGAAGAGGTCGGCCTGGGAAGCTGAGTCACGGGAAAGTTGGGTTCTGTGACTCGTGTTGGTGTCCATACATCTGAGGGTCTGAGCACCAGCATTCCCAGGCAAGCGGCTCCGGCGTAGGTCTGTCTGTCTCACTTGCTTTCCCTTTTCCTCATCCCAGAAAAGAGCAAACCAAGCAGAAACCCTTACCGCCAAGCCCACAGCCAAGGGAGAGCTAGCAAGGAGGCCCGAGTGCATGACTGCCCAGTTCATCACGCCTCCCTACCCAGTGCCAGGCTTGCCCCAGACCTGCCAAGGGCTGCAGAACAGCGCCGTCAGAGTCTCCCTGCAGTGTCCAGCGGGGACCTCAGAGAACACCAAGAGTGTCCACTCCCAGACCATCGAGACGGCCCTGGTGGCCTGTGATGCATGCACCAGCGTCCAGGGCAGCCTGAAGGAGGTGGGCAAGGCAGTCATCAGCCTGTGTCAGAGCCAGAACTTGCCCTCATCCTTGGGTCACTTCCAGCAGCTGGTACAGGACAGCATGGGGCTTAAGCCACTGCCAGCTGCTACCATGGGCCACTGGGCAGCAGAGCAGAGCAAAGACCTGGCGCGCCTCAGTAAGCATGTGGGGGCCCTCACTCAGCTTGTGGGGCCCCTCAGAGCCCAGCTGGAGGAGGCCGAGGGGCAGAAGGATGGACTGAGGAAGCAGGTGGGCAAGCTGGAGCAGGCCCTGCAGCGGGAGCAGGGCGAGAGGCAGCAGCAGGCAGAGGAGGCCGAGCGGAGCCTAGCCAAGTCGGAGCGCGACAGGCGGCACCTTCTTGCAGGTTTGTGCCCAGAGGCCAGCCCGAGGGGACTCTTGCAGCCTTGGTGTAACTTGGCATGTCCTGAAATAGACCCTGAGACAGGGCTTTGAGTGTCAGTAGCTTGCATTGGAAGAGGCAGGGAAGAGAAGACAGCAAAGAAGGGTGCGTGCGTCCACCCAGCTAGTGACACCTGGAGCAGCGGGGAACTTAGTCCCTCTGGGGAGCACCAGGACACAGTGGGGAGTATGCAGGGTCTTAGACTTGTCCCATCAGAAGAGGAGGGGGCTGGAGGTATTAATCCACTCACTCCTCACAGTTACCGAGGGTCACTTCCAGGGCACCCCCAACCCAGCACAGCAGCCTCTTCAGCTTTGGCAAGGGGTCCAGCTCCTGGCACTGGAAGTCACCAGAGCCCACCATTGCTTCCATGGAGGACACCAGCCCAGAGAGGGGTAGACATGTGGCAGCCAGCCAGTGAGGAGCAGGATGGGGCTCAGGCCTCGTGGCACCCCTCAGGCTCCTTTGGCATCCTCAGGGGGCCCTCCACACGGCACATGGCATGACTGCCTTCGTGCTGCGTGGTGCCCTGGGTGTGAGGCCCACCGGCCAGGTCCGAGGGACCCTCTGAAGGGCCTCTGTCTCGATTGCCATAGAAACGTGTGACCTAAAGAAGAAGGTGACGGCCTTGGAAGGGGAACTGAAGCAGCAGCAGGAGTCCATGCAGGCCTTGGGTAAGGAGCCCCCTCGTGTGACCCTGTGCCACTCCTTGGTCCAGGAGTGCAGCTGGACGGGCACCCTCCATTTCTGTTCCTGGAGCTTCCAGGGCAGAGAGGAAGGGAACCATGGGAGGTTGGGCCTGATGGTCCACACGGCTGGACAGTGACCCAGTGGGCAGAGAGCACTTTCTTGTTCCAGACCCACCTCGTGAGGTGTGGAGCCCCACACTGTGGCTGAGAACACTGAACCCCGGAGATGTGATGTGATCTCCCATCAGTCTCATCCAGGGTCAGAGGTCACATAGGAATTCAAACCTAGGGCTCCCCTGGCACCTGCGCACTCCATCCTACAGAGGCAAAGGCCCAGCAGCTGCAGGAGGAAGGCGAGCGCAGGGCAGCAGCTGAAAGGCAGGTGCAGCAGCTGGAGGAGCAGGTGCAACTGCTGTCAGGGCGGCTGGACGGGGCTGGCCAGCAGATCCGCTGGGCCAGCACGGAGCTGGACAAGGAGAAAGCCCGCGTGGACAGCATGGTCCGTCACCAGGAGGTGAGGCCCGTGACCCAGGCACTGGGTTTCAGGCTCCACAGCCGTCTTGTTCCTACTCCCTGCTGGGAAGTAGCTGCTCTTGCTAGACGATAGCTACTCCTGTCATCCCCGTTTTATGGATGGGGAAACTGAGGCTCGCTAAGGTTAAGGAACTGCCTAGGACACACAGCTGTCAAGAGGTGGAGCCAAGACTCAGAGCAGACCAGTGTTGGCCCTTCCTTCATACTCAGTGGGCTGATGTGACACTGGAGATCTAAGGAGAAGGAGAGCCTATTTCCCAGAATCCTCTTTGAGTGGGGACTTTGTATGACTGGAAAGAAGTGAGGGGTGGGGGGGCTGCTGCCAGGGCTAGCCAAGGGTGTTGGGTCTGCAAGCTGGCCAGGCCTGACCTTGACCAGACTGGGTGTACATCTGCCTGCCGCACGCCATCTGTGCGTTTGTGTGGCCTCTGCTGTCCACACACACACAGAATGAGGGGAGGGTTCAGAGGGTCACAGATACCTAGTTCCTCGGGCCTCAGGGCCTCCTGCCGTCCATTCCCACTTAGTCCCTGCAGGCCAAGCAGCGGGCTCTGCTGCAGCAGCTGGACAGCCTGGACCGGGAGCGCGAAGAGCTGCGGTGTGGTCTGGACGAGGCTGAGGCCCAGCGGGCCCAGGTGGAGGAGCAGCTGCAGCACCTGCAGAGCGAGAAGGAGCAGGAACAGTGCCAGCTCCAGGCCCAGCAGGTGTCAGTGGGCGGGGGGGGGGCAGGACCCTTCCCTTTCAGCAGAGCTCTCCAGCCTGCTGAGGGTCCCTGGCCTTGTCCCATGCCTGAGGACAGGGCAGTGTCCCCAGGGGAGCCAGGCACCATCCTGGGGCCAGGTCTGAGCCTCTCCTTATCCCAGGAGCTGCTGCAGAGCCTGCAGCGGGAGAAGCAGGACCTGGAGCAGGTGATGACGGACCTGCGGCTGACCACGTCAGAGCTGCACCGGGAGCTGGAGGAGCTGAGGGAGCGGGAGCGACTGCTGGTGGCCTTCCCTGACCTGCACGGGCCCATGGAGGCCCAGATCCAAAGTAAGGGCCTGGGGATGCTGCCGAGGGCATGCAGGGGCCCAGGCGGGCACAGCTGAGGGCTCACCTGGACAGGACCCGAGGCCGGAACTCCCCAGTCTGCAGCAGGGGCGGTGCGGTGGTGGCAGTGGTGGTGGGGTGTAGGGAACAGGGTGTGGTTCCCTACACAGGCATCATTACTCTCAGGCGTGTCTTGTGTTGCCCACCCTTTTTGTCACCACAGCCAAATCCAGACACAGGTCTCTGTGCAGGTTCTTCACCAAGTCACACGCCTGTCCTTGCTCCACCTCCCTGTGTCCTCTTTGCTGGTTCCTCCCCACGCCACACCATGGGGCCAAATCCGAGGCCCCAGCCCCCAGCTGCCTGGTGTGCTAGACGCCATGATTAGGAGTGCTAGGTACTCACACTGGCACGGGATTAGATGTCAGGTGACCTGGCCTCTCCTGCCAGCCCCTCCAGCCCTCTGAGAGGCTCCGGAATGAATCTGCTGTAATTTAGCTGGTCATGATGTCATCACTTCTGAGTACTGACTAGGCACTGGGCCCTTCTGTCACCTCACAATTGCCCTGTGAGGCAGGAGGCAGCCCCTTGTTGCAAACCAGGAAACCAAGAACCAGAATGGGTAGCAACTTGCCCGGGCTTAGAGAGCTGGAAGCTCTCCTCCCTCACCACTGCACGGGAAAGGACTTCCTTGCCCCGTCTCTATTACTCAACCCCACAGCTGGCCGGACGTTGGTGGCTCACACCTGTAATCCTAGCTCCTAGCTACTCAGGAGGCAGAGATCGAGGTTCAAAGCCAGCCCTGGAAAATAGTTGGCGAAAAATACCCAACACAAAAACAGGCTGGTGCAGTGACTTCAGTGGTAGAGCACCTGCCTAGCGAGCATGAGGTCCTGAGTTCAAACCCCGGTACTGCCAAAGGAACAAAACAAAACACAAAAAACAGCTCCTTGGGTGACTCACCCACCTCAAATTCTATAATTTGAGGTGGGGAAGGACAGCAAGATCTCAGGAGAGCAAAGGTGGGATGGGAGGCTCAGTGTACTTCCCAGGCCCCTGGGCCTGTCCTCTGAGGTCCTGTGCCATGGGGCGTAAGAGGCAGGCCCGGGAAGGCGGGGTGCCAGATGTTACGTCCCTGCAGGCTCCAGCAGCGTCACAGACGACATGGAGAGGCAAGTGCAGGCCAACGCCATCCGAATCCGGGTCCTGCAGGAGGAGAATGGGCGGCTCCAGGCAATGCTATCCAAAATCCAGGAGGTAGCCCAGCAGGGGGGCCTCAAGGTGAGCCTGAGCGCCTGGGCCTTGGGGACTTGGAGGTGGCCCCTGCCCAGCAGACGTCTTCAGACCCTGCGCTGGGAGGCTGTCAGGACCTGGCACATGGCCAGGCTTGAGGAGGCTGCTGCCCACCCAGTGCCTTCCAGCTCCCAAACCCCTAAGCCCTGCATTCCGTCACCTTAAGTGCAGCCTGGAGCCTTGGCAAGGACCCTTCCCAAGCGTATTGTTTGCCCGAGGAGAGCTAGGGACTTCCGAAACCCTGCCCCGTAGCTGGGTGCACGGAGACTGGGATGAATTCAGCCTTTGCCTCCCTGGCTCTGCTGTGACAGTCTGTGTATGGGGGAGGGAACTCAGGGCCCTTCTGAGATTGACTTTCCTTGCAGCTGACCTCGCAGGACCAGCTCTGGGCCCCTCCCAGCAAGGGCACCCAGGTAGCAGCCCCTCCAGCCCAGCCCCAGAGCGCACTCCCAGGGTGAGTGAGGCTTTGCCAGTGGCGGGCCACGTGGGTGGCACGGTCCCCCCATTCACAGGTCATCTTGTGTCTGGTCCTCCCTCAGGCCCCTCTGCAAGTGGCACTCTTCTGCCAACAAGACTGGCAGCAGGACTGGCAGCGGACGCAGGACCCAGTCAGGCCAGCCCCGAGCATCCCCGTCTCGGCACCCCGGAAGCTGGCCCGCCCAGTCCTCCCTGGAGGAGGTGACCCAATCGGCCATCTGTGCCCAGAACCCCATCCGAGCCTTGGCCAGGCTGAGGCAGAGACTCTCACCGAGTAGGGGCCAGGCCGGCTCTGCACACCAGCCCCAGGAGCGGCCTCTGTAGCCTGCAGGGGCGGGGGCAGGTGGCTAGCAACCCCCAGTGGAATAAAGGTCCAGCCCTCTGCTCTCGGCCATCTTGGCCTCGGTGTGGCTCACTGGGAAAGTCCTCCAGTTCCGGTGGGGCAGCAGCCTCCAGCACTGTGAGCCCTCAGCGAGTGGGAGCTCCCTGCCTCCTTCCTGACACCTGGGCCAGGCGAAGGGCAGTCTTTCCATCCCCACAGCCAGGGGGATCCCTGGACTCAGTGGCTGGCCCCCAGTAAGATGACCAGGGTGGGGACTGGGCGAGGGAGGGGTCCTGAGACATCTCGGGTAAGCAGGAGTCAGAGGTCAGTATCTTGGCTCTGGCCTCACCAAGGCAGGCAGACGACAACCACGCCTTCTGCCCCTCACCTTGGCCATGAACATGGGGCTGGGGACCTTAAGATCCAAGAACGCCAGGTGACTTTCTCTGAGGAGCTCCTCGCCCTCAGGAGCTGGAGAATCACAAAGGATTTCTTACATCCTGGAGCTCAGAGCCTCTCATGCTTTTGTCAGCCCTGGTCTGTCAGCCCTGGACCTTTTGGGCCCGTCCAGTCTGGGATACCATGATGCTACAGCCACACAGCGGATGTTTTCTCCAGAAAGCCACGGCCTGACTTGTGTCGCCTTGTCTGTGGAGGTCAGGCTCTAAGACTTCGCTGCGGACTTCTCAGGGTACACTCTCCAGGCTTCTGGACTCTCTCTCGGTGGGAAGCCATCAGGTTGAATGTCCAGCTTACAGAGAAGGGTGAAGAGCAGTCACCTGGCACTGTCAGCACTGCTTAAGTCCTGCTTCTCAGGAACCCAGAGGCTCCCAAGGTGGCCGGATGCCTGGGCCACCTCCACAGTGGACAGCCAGCCCTGGGTGTGGCGTGGCCCAAGTCTGGGAGCCACGCTCACAGCTGAGCCTCTCAGGCCTCCACCGACCTAGTGGCCCACTGTTAGCGCCGAGCTCTGCAGGTCAGTCCTGCAGGGCCGAGCCCACCGCTCAAGGTGCCGGGAGGTGAAACTGCGGTGTCCCTGCCGACTCGTCCTGGTGGGTGGCAGAATTCAACCTTGGGGCTGTGGCCCCGAGGCCCTCACTGCCATCTCCCCTGCCTCTTGTCCCCCTCGCCCCTATAGGCCAGCAGCAGAGTCCCCTTCACTCTGACTTCCTCCTCTTCCGCCAGCGGAGGAAACTGCTTTCGATGGGTTCCGTGTGTAGCTCAGGCCCACCTGGTCACTACGGCCATCTTTAGGTCAACTGTACCTATAACGTAACCTCCTTGTGGGAGTGGGACGCCTGGAGTCACCACTCCAGCGATTATACGAGGTATAAACGTGCAGGACAGAGGTGGAGGGACCTTGGAGCCATCAGAATCACCTCTACCACTGACAGCAGACCCCAAGGTGACTTTAAAAAAAAATCTGAAAACACGCACACAAAATTTACATCTTATGTTAAAATATAGTCTTGTTTATTTTGCTATTAAAACTTCCTGCCCCGACTCTTAAAAAAAAAAGGATGCCCCGGAAGAGGTACCACATTTATCGTGTGGCTTCAAGTATCCTAGTGAACAACACCGAGCCCACCCGAGTCCACCGAGTCCAGGATTAGTGTCTAAGGTCTCTGTCCCTGGCCAGCTGGACAGGCAGTGGGACAGATGACTTCCGAGGCCCTAGGACAGAGGGCAGCAGTTGGTGAAGGAGCCCGAGTTTAACCTCACAGCCTTGACCAAGCTGTATTCTGGAAGCTGGTCAGGCCAGAGAGCCTCAACTTCAGGCAGCCTCTTCCTCAATCCCCCAATAAATAAGCATAAAACCCAGCAACTGTGGCTTTTGCCTCAAGGATGCCCCGAGAGCTCCCAGAGTGCTGGGGACAGCTGTGCTGGCCTCACATTCTTTTCCCCCATGGTCCTGTGAGGAGGGCAGACACAGACATCCCAGGATTGCAGAGAAAGGCCCCAAAGTGGCTCCCTTCTTTCCCGGTGGGTCCCTGCCCTGCGTCCTCGGCCTGGGGCTGTAAGTCCTTCCTTTCCATGTGGGCATGGTGGGGTCCCCGTGTCCTTCCTCTGCCCACGAGCTGGCTGGCTGGCCATCCCACTGTCCCGCCCCAGGAGCCCAGGGCACAGGTGGGGAGGGTCCTTTTCTACGCGCAGAAGCCCCGCTGGGGCACCTAGTCATCGGAGTAGCGGTTCCCTGCAGGGGAGGAGGAAGAAGAGTGGGGAGAGGGGTCAGGTGGGGACCAGGGGGGTCAGCCTAGGGCCCACCCCTGGTGCTCACCCAGGACATTGAACTTGCACAGAGGGCAGGTCTGCTGTAGAATCAGCCACGGGTCCACACAGTCTCGATGGAACTCATGCTTACAGGGAAGCACCCGGAGCCACTACAGGGAGGAGAAGAGAGGCTCAGGCCACAGGGTGGGACCTGCCCCCAGTTCTGCTTTCTGGAGCCCTGGTGGAGGGGCGGGGGCTGGGAGAAGGGCCTGGTTGGTGCATTCTGAGGCCTCTACGGATAAGACAGGGACGTGACATGTCAGCCGATGGCTGGTCTCGCCCAGGCACTAACCTGCTTATTGCAGAAATAGTCCAGACACACGGCACAGGTGTCAGTGCCAGGCTCTGGGAGGCCCTGCGCTGCCCGGCTCAGACGGCAGCGTCGGGTCTTTAAGGATGCCAACCTCTGCACCACGCGGCGTCTGAACAGGTCCACCTGTGGGGAGAGGACGGTCACAGTGTTGTGGGCCCAAGGGCTGGGTGCACCGGGGCTCCCTGGTCTGACCCCTACCTGGCCTCCAGGCTCGCGCTGGCTGTGCCGAGTCGCCTGCCGCTGGGCCTGGACCACGAGGCCTGTACAGAGGAGCATGGCGACCAGCAGGATGGCATTCCACAGCTGCTGCAGGGGTTTCTGCAGAGGGAGACGGGTGTCCAGGCGCTGGGGCTGCCCCCACGCCTCCCTCAGCAACACCCACCACCCACCATCCCTCCTCCCTATGGGCTCCTCAGGGTCTGCCAGCTGCCCTGGCTTCATCTGGCTGCACACAGAGCCATATCTGTCCCCAGCACCCTTCTGTCACTGTCCCCAACCTGCACGTCCTCCGGGTCAGCTTCTCGGGCCCTGACCTCTCACCTCCATCTAGGCTGTGCTCGCACTTGAAGTCTCAGAGACAGCCACCTTGTCACTCCCAGAGGTCTCACCTGCTCCTCCGCCATCTTGGCCACGCCCACTGGGGGGAGTCTCACCTGCACACCTGCTTCTTCCCTCCTTCAACGCTCCCTCCCCGCCCTCTGGGAATTGAACCCAGGGCCCTCAGCATGCTAGGCAAGCGCTCTACAGCTTGAGCCAGGCCCCCAGCCCTTTTTTTGTTTGTGTTTTGTTTTTGATAGGGTCTTGATAATTTTACCTAGGTTGGCCTCAAACTCTGGACCCTCCTGCCTCTGCCTCCAGAGTAGCTGGGATTACAGGTATGAGCCACCAGTGCCTTCCCTTCAGCTCTGGAGGTCCCCAACCACCAGATCGAACGCTCCCACATTGCCTCCCCTTGCCCCTCTAACCATGTGTGTTCTTACTGCTGCCCCTGGTGGTCCACAAGCTCCCATCGGTGGGAGGGAACCGTGTCTCATTGTCACACTGTACCCTGCATCACTTAGTCTTTGTGAAATGAACGGCTGTGGAAACACAGCCTGAGAGGCCACTAAAAACCCTGGGGGCGCTCAGTGGCTGGGGAACCACAGTGATCTTGACTCAGCTTCCACACAAATGCAGCTGCTAGGCTTTGATCACCGAACAACCAGCTGAGCAAGACACGAGGGCGCTCCCACGCACGCACGCTATTTCACGCGGCCTGTAGGTGCAACGTGACTAACAAACACACTCACTGAAAAGCTCCCAGCATTCCTTGTAGCTCTCTGCCCTTCTTCCCCAACCAGTGCTCAAGGTCAACTCCCGCCATGACAGGAGACAAGGGTTGAAATGGTTTGAAGGTAAAAGGCTACCACCCTCTCGACCAGGTTGGAGATTGGGGTGGGGACACTTTGGGGTGTCTATGAGCTTACTATCTCCCCTCCAGTCACAGTGGGGTGAGGGGACCAGTTCTGGAAAGCCTCCCCAAGCCCTAGGCTGAGCTCAGGTGCCTTTGGTACAACCTGGGGGAGGCCTTGTGCCCACCGCTAGCTCAGGGGTCACCTCGTATCTCTCGCCTATCTGCTCTGCTGCCCTGGGCTGTGTCCCGGGCCACCCTCCGGCAGGCCAGATCACGTCAGAGCTGCCATGGCATTGCTCTCTGGGGCAAAGCCTGCACTGCCAGAGCACCAGGCCCAACGCACCTGGGAGCCCCAGCTGAGGAGGGAGGCTGGGGACAATGTATGTCCAGCAGGGCAGTAAGGATGTGACTGGTCAGGACTTCCTGATTATGTGTGCTACAGTTCTGGATTCCCAGAGGCCACTGGGCAGCTCAGGATAGTCACTGGGCCCTGGGATCAGGGTTGAGGGCCCAAGGCCCATCAAGCCAGGCAGCTAAGATGCCCGCCTGGCCACCCTTTGGATACCTCAGCTGCCAAGGCTACCCGATACATGCAATTCCAGCAATGGTCACAGCTGTTCAGATTTGACTTTTTGTACCTGCCACACCAACTTGCAGACTGCATGCTAGACTCCACTTCTAGGCTGCCAGGAGCCTACTCCCTGCTGATCTAATCTTCTAGCCCCTCCTCCTGGCTCCTCACCAAATCCTGCCCTGCCCAGTGTTCTGTGTGGGCCACCACACACTGTTCACAAATGAGCAACATGAGACCAGAGAGGTTGAACACTTGGCCTATGGTTGCTCAGCAAAGGTTTCAGAGCCAGGATTTGAACCTGCATACCAGAAGACCAGGGCTGGCCTGCCCCCACACAGCTTGGCTCAAAAAACACTTGAGAACAGAGTACCACACAATCCCGTGATGCCATGATCTGGGAGATCCACAAACAAATGAAACACAACCCTGGCTATCAGAAGACACGGTCACACTCCCCAACACACAGGGTGGACCGTCCTCTCACCCCTGTGAGAGGCCTGACCAAGCACTGCTGTGACTGAGAAGAGAGAGAAAGGGCCTTTGAGCAGAGGGTTTGAGGGATGACTCCAAAGCATGTGCGAGGATGAGCTGGGAAAGGGACATATGGAGACAGGGATAAAAGGTGCCAACCAGTGCCAGGGGCTCACGCCTGTAATCCCAGCTACTTGGGAGGCTGAGATGGCGAGGATCCCAGTTTGAGGCCAGCCTGGGCAAATAGTTCAGGAGACCCTCCATCTCCAATATAACCAGAGCAAAATGGACTGGAGGTGTGGCTCAAGCAGTAGAGTAAGCACAAAGCCCTGAGTTCAAACCCCAGTCCCATCAAAAGGGAAAAAAAAAAAGAGAGAGCGAGAGAGGAGAGACAAAAGGTGTAGACAACCTAGGCCCAGAGGCAGGAGACCAGGCTGTGTACGGGGAACAGGGAATGGCGCAGAGTGGCCAGACCAGAAATGGAGGATAGCTGCAGACGTAGCTCAGAGGCAGACCATGTACGGCCCAGACCCCGGGTTCCACTCTCAGTCTCCCCCACCCCACAAAAAAGAGAAAGAAAAAGAGGGCTTGGCTTGGGTCTACATGAGACCTGGGGAGGCGCAGCTAGGAGAACAGTGAGTTTGAGGACTGCCTGGGCTACACAGCAGGACCCTGTCTCAAAACACAGAAAACAGACAAGATATGGTGGCGTGTGTCTGCAATCCCAGTTACTAAGGAGGCAAAAATCGAGAGGATCACAGTTTGAGGCCAGTCCTGGAGAAAAGTTTATGAGCTCCCCATCTCCATGAATAAAAGCTGGGCGTGGTGGTGCAGGCCTGTCAGCTCAGCTACATTTGAAGCATACAGAGGAAGACTGGGATTTAGGTCAGCTTTGGGCATAAGTGCAAGACCCTATTCAAAAAACTAAAGCAAAAAAAAGGGCTGGGACATGGCTGTATGTGGTAGAACACAAGGCCCTGAGTTCAAATCCCAGTATCACCAAATAAATAAATAAAAAAGAAATACAGGATAAATCAGTGCTGAGGAGGGCTGTCAAAACCAAGCTGAGGAGTCTGAATTTATTCTGCAGGTAATAGGGAGCTACAGAAGGCTACTGAGGGGGAGAACATGAAGGCAACAAGCCACGTTAACTGCACATGACCTTGGGCCAGGTACCATGCTAAGAGTCCACTGACACCATGTCACTAAACCCAGCGGCCCTCCTCTCCCAGGACCCCATAGAATCCCCTAGCACTCACCTGCTCCTGGGCACGACTGCCTCCCAGGCACACCAGGTCCTGCCACCCTCCGTAGCCATCCTTGGAGAGGCCACAGGTGGTCCACAGGGTCAGCTTCCACTCGATGTTAGCTGACAGGGACTCTCCGCTGGTGATCTCCGCTGTGGCCTGTGTCCTCCTGGGGGGGTAAAGTCAGAGAGAAGCCAGACAGAAGGGTGTTGGGAAGGGAGGCCGAGACTCACCCACCTAGCCCTGTGGTGGACACCAAAGGGTGCCACCCCTGGAGGCTTTCCACTTTGGCTCCCGGTCCTGGCTGTCTCACCCATCCAGGCCACAGATGAAGAACTGGCTTTCTCCTTGCTGGGGCCAGTCCCCTCTGCCCACAGAGACACCTCCCTACAGGACTTTGCACCCCTTTCCCATTTGCCTCCCCCATTTTTCAGCCTGGCAGAGTACAGTTGTGAGGTCCTGCTCCGGAGACCCCTACCCCCCACCCCAGCTCATGGAAAAGGAAGGCAAACATTCCCAGCTTCCAGGGCCCACCCTTTGGGAACCCGAACCCCAACTCACTGCAGCAGTGCCTCCAACAGTTTGGTGACATTGGAAGAATAATGGAGGACGATCACTGGCCGGAGGAGAAGCTGGGATATGTCCAGCTGCAGGGGACAGGACAGTCAGCAGGCCTTGGTCCCTCCTTCCCTGGCCTCCTGACCCTCACGGTCTGCTCAGGGGTTACCTCTCGGACTACGTTGTGGTTCAGGATGAGGAGAAGCAGGGCAGAGGCTCCCAGGAAAAGGGCTCGTCGCATCTGCAGGATGGACGAAGGTGGGAGGCTAGCATACCCCGTGCCACACCTGTGGCCCTAACCCTCCCCATCTCTCCCAGCAACAGGCTCCGCAGTGAGCGGGTCAAGTGCGATCAAGGGCAGAAACTCCCATGCCTCCTGCTCTGTACGATCTAACCCACCTTGCCTAGCAAGGCAGTCTCCACACCTGGTCCAGCCTCCTGACCAATCTCCATCTCCCTGCTTTGACACCATCCTACTGCCTCGATTCTCCAAACTGGGATCCCCCAAGCAGCTCAGGCCTAGGTCCACTCTGGGAGCTCCTTAGTGGGTCCCCCTGTTAACCAGGCCCAACCTCCCCTCCCCCACAAGCATACACCCCTTGCACCTGCTGGATCAGGGCCTTGGGATAGGCCTGAGGGCCACTGCCCTGGTTCTCCTGGTGGAACTGGGAGGCCTGCTCCTTGCCCACGTAGGCCACTGCAATCCAGTCTTCCAGCGGTACCTCTTCCTCGGCATCCACGATGTCCATCTGTGCAGCGGGGGGCCATGAGCAAAGAGGGGAGGCAGGGGGAGGTGGGGGGGGAGTCTGGGTTTGCCTCAGTGGATGCAAAGGTCAGGGCGTGGGAACGAGTCTGGAAGAGGGCATGAGGATCTCAGGTTCGGGAATCCTGGTTACTGGGGGGGGGCTGGGCATCCTGGAGAAGAGGGGGCGCTGGGCTGTCGGGGTTTGTTGGATCCAGGACGAAAGGTCCGAGGTGGCGCTCACCAGCAGCAGGCGGCCACCCAGCGGGGGTTCTGGGTCGGCTTCGGCCCCGATCCGGACGCCCTCCAGAACCAGAGCGTCCTGCCGCGCCAGCCTCACGTCCACCCGCACCGCCCGGGCTCCGCCCCGCCCCTCCCGGGCCGCCGGCTCGCTGCCATCCGCCGCGGCCCCGGGTCCCGCCAGGCCCAGCCACAGCGGCAGCAGCGGCAGCAGCAGCAACAGCGGGGATGGGGGCGGCGGCGGAGGAGGTGGTGACAGCGGCGGCGACCTCAGCGTGGGACGAGTGGCGGGACCCATGGCCGGACCCCGCAAAGCTGGAGGAGACAAGGGGGCTGGGGGAGGAGGAGGGGAGGATCCGGGGCGCCGTGGGGGGGGGCGGGGGCGGGGAGCTGAGGGAGCCAGGCCGCGGCCGGACGGGGCGGGGCTTCACGGGGGATGGGCGGGGCTGTGGCCGGACGGGGCGGGGCTTCGCGAGGAGGGGCGGGGCCGCGGCCGGACGGGGCGTGGCGTCGGGAGGGGCGGGATGTGAGCCGTCAGAGGTTCCGGGCCCTCACTGAGCCGCGCGCGCGCGCCCCCTGGTGGTCGCGGAGAACTTAGGCGCTGGCGGCCCGCGCAGCTGAAAAGGGGGCGGAGCCTGAGTCCAAGTGCAGAGGCTGGAGTCCTAGAAGAGGAGGCGCTGGACAGACTGCCAAGTTGTCAGACTGCAGAGAGGGGCGGACGGTAGCTGGAGGGACATAGCTGGAAGAGGCGATCTTGAAAGACTCAGATACAATCAGGGTCCGAGAAGTACAGAAACCAGGGGTGGTCAGGGGACCTTTGCTCTGTGGTGGCCCAAGCCACCCACGGTTTGGCCAGGACTATGTCATGCATGACCCCATCTTCCCTGGACCTCCATTTCCCAACTGAACCAAATAGCAAGAGGCGGAGAACAAGAGATTGACGGTGGGAGGCAGATTGGGGAAATTGAGGCAAGGGTCCCAGCAGGACTGATGAGGTAGGGAGACCCTTAGAGGGACAGCGAGGGTGGGTCACTCTCTTCATCCATGCAATGGGCTTGGGATAAAACCAGTACTGTCCCATCCCCAACACCGAATCTCTCATGCCTACTGGAACGTGCAAGTTCCCTCACTGTCCCAAAATCTGTCTTTTCTCTCAGGGGTGGGGGTGCTGGGAGCTGGCTCAGCCTGAAACCTAAGCCTTTCACAAATTGTACCCTGATAAAAGGGCAAAGGCCAGATGAGCGGTGACACATTCTTTTCCCTACCGTGTTATCATAATTTAAAAAAAGAGAAATCAAACAGCAGGGTGTGCTGCTGGCTCACATCTATAATCCTAGCTACTTGGGAGGATTGAGGTTCGAGGCCAGTCTGGGCAAATAGCTCACAAGACCCCATCTCCAAAAATAGCCAGAACAAAATGGGTTGGAGGGCCACTGTGTGGCTCAAGCAGTACAGCACCTGCTTTGCAAGTGCAAAGGCCTGAGTTCAAAACCCCAGTCCCACCCCCCAAATCAAACATACAGAAAAATGAAAATAATTTTTCAGTGAACACCTAACTAGCCACTGGTTAGCCGCCAATAGCCAAAATGCTAATGGGAAAAGAGTGAGAGGTGGAGAGTTAGATAGTTGGATGTCTGCCCCAAGACAAGGAAAGGGGACATGCAACAGACGAGAAGCTGACAAAGCACATATACATCCAGCCTATGTCAGAGGAAGGGTTGAATTTGGGGAGGTGGAAAGAGATGAATAAGATGAGCTCTTTCATAAATTGTGCCAAGAAATTGGGCTAACCACTAGGGAAAATAAGTGTAATTGGGGATTGGGGCATGATTTAACTGGTAGAGAGTCTGCCTAGCAAGTACAAAGCCCTGAGTTCAAACACCAGTGCCACCAAAAACATAAAATAAAATGTACCCATCCATATTAGACATTGCATACAAAAAATGAGGTCCATGTGGATTAAAGATCTAAACATGAAATATTAAAACATTAGACATTGCTTAAAAAGAAACAAATGGGCTGGGCACCAGTGGCTCATGCCTGTAATCCCAGCTACTCAGGAGGTAGAGATCAGAAGGATTGCAATTCGAAGCCAGCTTGGGCAAATAGATTGAGAGACCCTATCTTGAAAATACCCACTCAAAAAAGGTGGCTGGTAGAGTGGTTCAAGGTGTAGCCACTGAGTTCAAACCCCAATACTGCAAAAAAAAAGAAAAAAAGAAAAGATAGCTGCTCAATGGTAGAGTGAATGCTTAACTTGCACAAGGACATTCAACCTATTTTAAATTTATTTTTTGAGGTAGGATCTCGCTATGTAACCTAGGCCGGCCTGAATTTGACATTGATCTTCCTGAGTGCTGGGATTACAGGCTTGTAACACCACACCCACTTACCTAATTAGATATCAGGGAAATACAAAGTAAAAATCATATGAGAAAAGGGGGGGGGGAGGAGAACAATGGAGGGGGTGAATTTAACTGTGATACATTGTAAACACTTTTATAAATGTCACAACGTACCCCCAGTACAACAATACTATAATAAATTTTTTTTTAAATCATGAGAGATCAACTGGCAACATGAAAACATCTTCCAGGCATGGTACCTCACTCCTGTAATCCCAGATACTTGGGAAGCTGTGATTGGGAGAGTCGTGGTTTAAAGTTAGCTCAGGCAAATAATTTGTGAGACCTCCCCGCCCAATGTCCAAAATAGCCAGAGCAAAATGGACCAGAGTTGTGGCTCAAACAGTAGAGTGACCCTTTGCAAGCTGGAAGCCCTGAGTTCAAATCCCAGTCCCACCAAAGAAAAATGAATAGTCTGACCATGCCAGGTGCTCTTGGGGATGGGGAGCGATGGAATCTACACCTCGCTGATGGGCGTGTATGTCTGGCTGCACTGGCACCGTCCAGCCACGTTGGAAAAGTGATTTGCATGAAAGAAAACCGCAGGGGAAGGGCTGGAGGCGTGGCTTACGTGGTAGAGCACCTGCCTAGCAAGTGCAAAGCCCTGAGTTCAAACCCCAGAACCTCCAAAAAGATAAAAAATCCTGAAGATGCATGGTCTCAGATACACCATTCCTGGGTATGAGGTAGAGATCCTCGGTAAGAATGGAACATAGGTTCTTGAAGAATCGTCTGATGAACTAAGTCAGGCACAGTGGCACACAGCTGTAGTCCCAGCTACTCAGTGAGGCAGGAAGATCACTTGAGTGATCTAGGAGTTCGGGGCCTGCATTGTTTGAGATTAACTGAATCATTATCTCTGGGTCTTTGTTTCTGTTCATCATGAAAAGCTTACATACCAGATAATTGTCTTGGTGGGGGGAGTGATACGAGGATTTGAACTCAGTGCTTTGAATAGGCCAGTGCTGTATTGCTTGAGCCACACCTCCAGTCCGGATAATTCTTCTGTACAGCCTTGGTGGAGAACCATGTGGTCCTTCAGCACGTGCAGATCAGCCCTGTTTCGTTGTAAAAGACTGGAATAGCTCACCTCTCCATCCCTAGGAGAAAAGAAAACTTGTGATAGCTTCATGTGTTGGGTGTCACACGACAGAAAAAAATGAATGAATGAATTACGTGGAGCAGCACAGATAATTCCTACAGAATGTTGAGGGCAAAAAGCTAGTCTCCAGCAGGCATGATGGTGCACATCTGTAATCCCAGCTTCTCAGCAGGCAGAGATTGGGAGGACGTGGTTAGAGGCCAGTCTGGGCAAAAGTTATCGAGATACCCCAGCTCAACAAATAAGCTGGGCGTGGTGGTGTGTGCCTGAAGGAGGTGTAGACCACACAGGAAGATCGTGTCCCTGGGGAAAAAAAACTAGACACCCTATCCAAAAAATAACTAAAGCAAAAAGAGCTGGAGACGTGGCTCCAATGGTAATGCACCAGCCTACCAAGAATGAGGTCCTCTGTTCAAACCCCAGTTCTGCTAAATAATAATAATAATAATTAATATAATAATATACTATCTACCTTTATAAATATCAGAACACCTAAGACCAACACACAAAAATCTGCCTTTTTTTTCCCCTGGTGGAGTGGTTCAAATGGTAGAGTGCCTGCCCAGCAAGTGCAAAGCCCTGAGTTCAAACCCCAGCATTGCCAAGAAAATAACTGCAGTGGGTTTTTATATACCAGCAAGGAACAATCTGAAAAGTAGATCAAGATCACAGTTTTACCTATAATAGCACCCAAAATAATAAAATACCCAGGGATGAACATAAACAAGGGAGTGAAAGAGTAATACATTGAAAGCTAAAAATGTTGTGGAAATAAATGAAAGAAAGCTAGATCAATGCCAAGCCGTCCATTCCTAGTGGATAGGCAGACTTAATATTAAGATGACAATCTGCACATTCATTGCCATGCTAGCAAAATTTTTTTTCTGGGACTGAGGTTTGATCTCAAGGTGCAGCAAAGCAGGAGCTCTACCTCCACACTTCCAGTCCATTTTGCTCTAGTTATTTTGGTAACTTTTTTTTTTTTTTGGCAGTACTGAGGCTTGAACTGAGGGCCTATACCTTGAGCCAGTCCACCAACCCTTTTTTGTGAATTATTTTTCTAGGCTGGCTTTGAACCATGATCCCCCTGATCTCTGCCTCCTGAATAGCTGGGATTACAGTGTGAGCCAGCGGCGCCCAGCCCGCTCTGGTTATTTCTCACAAACTATTTGCCTGAGCTGGCCCCAAACTGCAATCCTCCCAATCTCAGCCTCCCATGTAGCCACTGGGCTGGCGAATTTTGCTTTTAAGTCATACAAGTGCTCATTTCATCCTCCTTTTCTGTAGATGAAATCATTGTGCAGAACTTGCAAAATGCATTTGGGAGGTCCCTGGGTGTCCGTGGAGAGTCCGGCTCCTCTGTCTGTTGACAATCCTAGTCTATGTGGGGGCACCAATGACATCACTGCAAGGACACACCCCATCCTCAGCCAGACGGTTGGCTCCCTACCCCCGCCCCACCCACCAGAGCAGGAGGTCTCTCTCTTATTCCCCCAACACACACCCTGCCACCGGATGCATATCCTAGTTCACATATGTCCCCACTGGCACACACTTCTGTGTCCTCACAAGGAGTCACATCCCAGCCTTTCATCAGCCACAGCCCGGGCTGTCTGCAAACTTGGTGGGTAGCCAGAGGTACCCATAGGGTGACCCTTGGTTATTCTGGAGGACAAGCTTGAGGGTGTCATCTCAGTGTGAGTGGAAGTAGTCCAGCCTGCTGCTATGGGTGGGGACCCCCACATGAAAAGGAGCAATGAGGACCGGTATGGCGTCTGGAGTAAGTGAAGTTCAGGGAGGGAGGCAGGCAAACACTACAAGAGGGTGGGTGACCTGGGGCTCCTGCCTAGAGTACAGTGTCTGAGGAGGACCTGGGGGTTGGGGAGAGGGGTAACAGTCAGGTCCAAGGCTTCAGACTCCAGCTTGCATGACTTCTGGGACAGGGTGGAGAGCGGGTGCGGAGAGGGTGGCTTCTCTCTCACCATGTGCTTAGAAGCAAGCCGCTTCCCTTTTGGCCTGGGTCCCCAGCTGTAATGGGAATTTGAACAAAAGTACATGGAGGACTTTTCAGCACATGTGCTTTCATTCCAAGTAGCTTGGGTTTTGTCGTCGTCGTTGTTGTTGTTGTTGTTGTGTTTTTTGCAATACAAGGTTTCCTGGCCTGGGGCTGTGCTGTGACTTGTATATGGAGCGGACCTCCATTCCTCTGTCTCCCCTCTAAGGTAGCAGGGGAACTTAGGAGGAAATGAGCTATTAAAGAAAGCGTGAGACATGGGACGGGTTCCCCAATGATGGGTGGGGTGGGGCAGTGGATGCTTTAGGATGGGTACCAGGAACAGGGTGCACTGAGAGATCAGTGTGTTCCATTCACCCTAGTGTGCATTTCCTCTACTATAAAATGTTCTCCCATCAGACACCAGTAGATACCATAGAAGTGGACAGAAGCCCAAGGATGGCGGTGCTAAAACAGGAGTTTTGGACTCCAGGCCCAGACTCCTGGGATTCCACACATCAGGTCCAACCACTCACCCCATATGCCAATAAAGAGACATGATAAGCCGGGTGCTGGTGGCTCACACCTGTAATCCCAGCTACTTGGGAGGCTGAGATTGAGAGGATTGTGGTTTGAGGCCAGCCTAAGCAAATAGTTCTTGAGACCTCCATCTCCAAAATGAACAGAGAAAAATGGACTGGAGGCGTGGCTTAACAGGTAGAGCGCCTGCTTTGTAAGTGTGAAGTCCTGAGTTCAAACCCCAGTTCCATGAGAGAGAAAGAGAGAGAGAGAGAGGGAGAGAGAGAGAGTGGAAGGGAGAGAGAGAGAGAGAGAGAGAGAAAGAGAGAGAGAGAGACATGGTGAAGGTTAGAGAAAGGAGATATGTGTTACATAGCTTGGGATGTGCTGTGGGAAGAGCAGAGTAAGCACTCAGGTGCAGACGTGAGCTGCACTGATTTTTTTTGTTTTGGTTTGGTTTTGGTGGGATTGGGGTTGTGTCCTTGGGCTCACTTCATAAACCACATCTCTGGTTGCTCTGGTGATTTTGGAGTTGGAGGGTCTCTCAAACCATTTGCTTGGCCTGGCCTCGAACCATGATCCTCCCAATCTCAGCCTCCCAAATGGCTAGGATTACAGACATGAGCCAAGAACTCGGGGCCAGGAGAGGGAGGCATGCACTACCAATCTTATTTATAGGTGGCCTGGTTGTCACTATCTCGTCTGGTTCTCTGGGGTTCTGGAGAAGTTCTTATCGCCGTCCTCACCTGAGGGGAGCAATCTGTCCCCATGAGATGATTAATCCTGCTCCAGGCTGCAGCCTCATCATTATAGGAAATCGTCCTCACTTGGGGTGGTCTGTCCTGCGAGGCTCACTGATGCTTGAGGGTAGTTTCTGTCCCTTGTCATAAAGATGTTATCGATCGCTTCCATCCTTTCTAGAACCCAAGTGACTGCAGAGTGAGCGACTCAGAAAAAAGACAGATACAAAATGGAGGCAGTGATGCCAGGCTTTTCTCCTACTTTTAGGTACTTTGTGGGCCCAAGTAAGGAGTCAGTGCTGAAACACCCTGTATAGCTATCTTAAACAAACAATATTGTCTTTTTCTTTTCTACAAAAATGGAGAAAAGGAAGGCAAAAACAGGCCCTGTCTGGTGGTTGGCACCAGTGGGAGGGGGGAGGAAATAAGGAAAGGGTGTAGGAGGTGACTATGGTGGAATACTATGCACTCATGTACAAAAATGGAAAAATGAGACCTGCTGAAACTATTCCAGGAATGCAGGGAGGGGGATAAAGAAGAATGAAGGAGGGGGTGCATTTAACTCTGATATATCATAAGAACTTCTGTAAATGTCACAGTGTACCCCCAGCACAAGAGTTGTTAACAGTGCTGGCAGAAGGAAGGGCAGGAAGGGAAAACTGTTCCCCGTGATCAGGAAGGGCCAATGTGACCGAGCTGCCACCAGGTGGCAGGTTGGTCCCTGGGGAAAAAGCGCCACCTTAGGGGTCCAGTGTTGGTGTCTGTTTTGTACCAAAAAGGGCTTTGAGAAACGAAGCGGGGCTGCTCACAGGTTGACACCACGACTCTAGGCCCAGTGCCAAGGAGAGAGGGCCAGGCTGGGTGGGCAGGGGGGAGGGCAGGGCTGCAGTTTTAGAACTCAGAGATTCCAATAAAAGGAAAATCTCCAACCGTCCTCCTTTGCCTGGTTCCGTCACCTCTGCTTCCATTCACCTGGATGCCCAGAGAGGGTCAGCGACTCCCCCACGATCACACAGGACAGGTGCAGGACGGCAGCAGCCAAGGTTTCCCCTAGGTCAGCCCTCCGGGGATAGGGTGAGGGTTGGTTTCTTACCCACTCACAGCCTGTGGGTGCCAAGGCCATAGCTCCTGCCCTTGAGAACAGAGAGTCGGCCTTAACTACAAGCACCGTGAGGTCATTTCAGGCCACTAGAGAGGGTTGGGGACATGGAGCTGTGTCAGCCCTGCAACCAGGGGTGGAAGGCTCTCTCTCTCTCTCTCTCTCTCTCTCTCTCTCTCTCTCTCTCTCTCTCTCTCTCGGAGAGAGGTGTGTGGGTGGACGCTAGAACGGCAAGACTAACTCAGGGAAGAAACGAGAAGTTCGAGTTCAAAACAACTCAAACAGGCTCTAGATTCCAGGTCCTGTTCATAAGTGAGCTCATTTAATCTTAGCCTCTTGAGGTAGTAAGATTATCACTGCTATTTTCCCAATGGGAAACTGAGGCACTCAGATCAAGTGACACTAAGTGACAGAGAACCAGGGCTGCAGAGTTGGTGAGTTCACATTCATGCCATTCTGCTTCTCAAGGTCTCTGGTGAGTAGAGAACAAGCCTAGCTGTGGGATCTGGACTCTTAATATTATTTATATTTATTATTATATTATTTTTTTTGTTGTACTGGGGTACACTGTGACATTTACAAGAGTTCTTACAATATATCATAGTTGAATTCACCCCCTCCATCATTCCCTTTTATTCCACCCCCCCTCCTCCATTCCTGGATCCATCTTTTTATTTTTGGCAGTACTGGGATTTGAACTCAGGGCCTCACGCTTGCTAGGTTGGCACTCTTACCACTTAAGCCAACCCATTAGCACTTTTCTGTGATGGTTTTTTTTCGAAGTAGGAGCTCATGAACTATTTGCCCAGGACTGGCTTCGAACCACGATCCTCCTGATCTCTGCCTCCTGAGTAGCTAGGATTACAGGTGTGAGCCATTGGTGCCTGGATGGACTCCATCTTAAGTGTAGGGTAAGAGCAGAGCTGGCAGCCCACCCGCCTGCAGGAAAGTCTCTAGGTTTGTGCCAGAGCTGGAGTGGGGTCTCTGAGATCCTCCCCATCCTCCTGTCACCTTCCCCTGAGGTCCCAACTCCCTGTCCCCAGCCTCTTGGTTCACAGCTAACTGGGCCACCTCCTTCTAAACGGATTTGACTCTCTGAGACAACTGGAGACGGGTGAGAAAGGGCTTAAGAATTAAGACAGTGATATCCAGGAAGGTAGGGGACTTAATCGGGGTGGGGAGGGGGACAGGGTGTGAGAAGCGAGGCTGGGAGAGGATTTGTGTCTTCACAAAGCCGGGGTGGACTGCGGAAGTGAGGGGGGAGTGACACGGGTTGGGGGACACCCCGTGATTGAAATAGTACCCTGCTACAACTTTGTCACTTTCCCAGCTATCAAGTCACTTACAATTCTCACAGTGGCCCCAGGGAAAGAGGCGAGGGTTAGTTTTCTCCCCAACCTGTGGGCACCCGGGCAGGGCAGGTGACCTGGGGCAGCTGTAGCCACAGCTGGAAGAAGGGGGAAAGGGTCTCCTGCCCTGTGCCCGTGAGCACAAGAGCTTTCCAGAGAGTTCCCTTGGCTCTGAAGTGGTTCCACAAATCTTTGTCACAGGATTTAAAAGACTTTTTTTTTTTTTTCCAGTGACTCTCACATTAACTGTGCCAGTCTCAGATCTGAGGTCAGAGCCAGGAGGAGGGGCTCTGATCTCGAAACCAGTGCCCTTCATTTGGTGGTGAGGCCGTCGAGGCCCAGAGAGGACGAGCCCCTAAAGGGCTGGTGACTGAACAGCCAGCCACCATAGCACATGACTCAGGCACACAGAATACAGCCCAAGTTTTGGGTTCCCAATCCAGCCCTCTTTTCTGTGCCCAGAGCTGCCTCTGGAAGAATCTAAACTCCGGGCTCTAACTTTCAAACGCCTAAGACTCTCAGCCCCATACTCCTCCAAAATCCCCACCTCCCAGGAGCCTTCTTTCACTCGCTCACACTTCCCAAGCTGCCTCCGTCCCTGATCCCAGTCCCGATCCCAGTCCCGAGCAAGGTGAGCTCAGAACAAAACACCCCTGTATGGCAGTGTCTCACCTCCAGGCTGCCTGACCCCGGAGACCAGGTTCTTCCTGTTGGACCAGCGCTTTCCTGACAATCACCGCCACAATATAAAAGCGTCCCTGTTACTGCCCAGGACAGAGGGGCTTCTGGTTGGCTGACATCACGTGGCAATGGGTTGATCACAGAGGCGTTTCTAGAAACAGCGTTGGTCCAGGGCCTGGGAGAAAGACAAGAACTAGAGTTCTGACAGAAGCAGGAGGGCAGAAGTGTGTTTGGAGGGACAGCAGGGAGCATCTCTGGCTGAAATGAAAGTGTGTGGGAAGGGGTGTGGGGCAGTTAAGGGCACAAGGGATGCTGGGAAGAGATGGAAGCAAGTCAGTGGGATTGGGCTGATTTCTGAAGGAACTGGGGAGCCAGTGAAGGTTCTTGAGGAGGAGAAGCAATGTACCTGGAGGGAGAATTGGGCAGAGGTAGGGCAGGGGTTAGAAAATAGAGAAGAGGTGAGGGCGGGAAGGAGAGACTCTTAGTAACCAGCCAGATGAGTAATGTAGGAGTATTATCAGATTAAGTAGGGATTTCACAGTGCGCTGGACATAGCCAAATATTAGTGAAGAAAGCCGACAGCCACAGAATCTGGAAGGGGCAGACAGGCGGGAGACCTCTTCACCTAAGCCTTCATCTGGGGAAGGAGGGAGTTGGGTATGACTGGGACAGTTTCCTGCAGGTGACTGTGTCCCCTGTGCTTTTCTGGGCAGCTCCTAGACCAGTCCACACCTTGACCTGAGGGCAGTTGCTTCTGTCACAATTCATCTAACCTGTGTACTCTAGAGGGCTGTCCAGCACTGGCGTGAGAAGCTAGATATGAAAGAGCAAGTACACTAAAGGACTGTGTAGGCTCTGCCCTACAAAGAACACACTGTCCCTAGGGTTTTTGTTTGTTTGTTTGTTTGTTTTTGGCAACACTGGGATTTGAACTCAGGGCCTTGCACTTACTAGGTGCAGCTCTACCACTTGAGCTGCACACCCAGCCCTTTTTGCTTTTAATTTTGCCTTTTTATACAGGGTTTCATGCTTTTGTCCATGCTGCTTTTGGACTGAGATCCTCCTACCTGCACCTTCCGATTATCAAGGATTGTAGCTGTGAACCACCAGGCCCAGCTCCTGGAAGGAGCTCTTAGGCACTCATTCATTAAGGAAGACAGTCCTACCCTGTCCCAAACCAGGCAGGCACTGGTGCTATGTATCTGTCATACCTCTGGTGACTTCTGGCAAGTCATGTGCTGACTGGGCTTCAGTGTACCCAGCTGTTAAGTGATGTAATCTGTATGAATCCTCTCAGGGCATCCCCAGGACCTGGCTTTGTATTGGAACATTTCTGTTAATCTCAATCTCTCTCTTTATATGGTCTTACTACATGTAACCCATGCTGGCCTTGAACTTGTGATCCTCCTGCCTCAGCCTCCCTAGTGATGGGATTACAGGCATTCACCACTACACCTAACCCACTGCACATTTTAAGATCCAGGTCAAATGGGTAGGATTCTTCCAAACTATCCAAATTCCACCCTTTCTAAGCTTTTAGACATTTGCTGTCTCTCCTTGGACATTTATCTCTTTCTTGCATTCTAGTAGATGGTCCTTGTATCATTTTTTTTTTTTTGGGTGGTGGTACCGGGGTTTGAACTCAAGACTTTGAGATTGCTAGGCAGGCGCTGTACCATTTCAGTCACAGCTCCAGCTTGGTGGGTCCTTGGATCTTATCTTTGGGTGGCATCTGATTCATTACTGGATTTCAGGAAAGTGCTATGGCCTGGTACTCAGTAGGAGCAGTGTCTCGGGCCTGAGGTCGGTTATAGCATGGAAATAGGATCAAAGCGGCAGGGGACCCCAGTGCAGGGGAAAGGCTGTTACACTCTGAAGTGACTTCATTGTGTTGGGCAGAGGCTGTCACTGCGGTGTGGCTGGACAGTCACATGGCGTAGGCTGGACTGGTAGCTGCCGGGCCACAAGTCAGATTTGCCACCACTGGGAGACCACAGCGCTGGCCCCTGGAGAGTGGGAACCAGATGAGCAGATAGCAGGCCTGCTTTCACTGGGCCCTTACTTTTGCTGTGGTTTTTCCTGTCCACCCTGAGGCTGAGGCCTGGCTAGCCACCCAGGAAAGGGCAGCTGCCCAGGGCAGGCTAAGAAGTGGCCAGAAGATGCCAGCCCTGTGCTGGCCTCCTGATAGCCTAAAGTCCGATTTATCCCCTGCAGGTAGAGACAAAGAAGCTGGAATTCAGAGAAGGGAACTTGCTTGCTTGATAGAGAGAGTCTCATGTAAACAAGTCTAAGCCTCTGATTTCCAGAGAGGAGACACTGCACACTGTCACCTTAGGGCAAGGGAGACGCCCAGAGAGCAGGGCAAGTAAGTCAGAAGCAGAGGACAAGACCCTGGGTGGCAAGGTGACTGACTGTGCTTTCTCGCCCCTCAACCTGGTGACATGCTCTTCACCCTAACTGTCCAGCAGGTGGAGGTGAAAGGCTGTCACCTGCAAAGTCCAAGCGATGGTGAGCCAGGTGGAGGCAAAGGTCCCGAAGAGGAATGGTCAACACCACAGTTCCCAGAGGCCAGGCTTAGTTAGGGGACATCCAGGGTCACCAGGTGCACTCTCTACCTTCTCGGGGAGGAAGGAAAAGAGGAAAGAGGCGAAGTCCTGCACTGGTGGCTCTGATCTGAGGTCCTTAGACAGCACTTCTGAATGTCCTCGGGGTTCCGACGGGGATCCGGGCTCAGGAAGCTCCAGTGACTTATCTTAAGGTCACCATGACAGCGAAAGGCAGACTTGTGCTGCTGCCCACAAGTCCGGGTGGGCACCTGCGAAGTCCGGGACTTGAGGAGTGCGTAGGAGACGCGAGCGTCAGAGCCACGTGCACGCCCGCGCGCCCCGCCCCTCCGAAGCCCCGCCCACAGCCACGCCCCCAGGGATCCTTTAAGAGGCGGGACTTGGCCGCCAGCCCCGCGGCTCCGGCTGAAGGCTGGGGACTTTACTCCATCAGCTGCCGCAACCGCCGCGCCCCGAGCCTGAGCCACGATGAGCGGCAGGGTCGGCGATCTGAGCCCCAGACAGAAGGAGACACTGGCCAAGGTGAGTCCCTGGTCCTGGGCCCTCGTCCCCTCCGGTGGGAAGGAGCTGGGTGACGGGGAGAGGGGGATGACGAGGGACCGTCCCACGGAGGGGGCAGCAGCCGATCGCCACCCCCACCCCCCTGCACCTGCACCCCTTGCTCTGGCCAGCTCCTCTCTTCTCCCTCCCTCCGCCTGCCCAGGGGACCCTGGGAAGTTTGGCCACCACTGTCCCCGGGGGTCCCCCTCCCCACCCCCCACCCCCCCC